CTCTATATATATATATATATATATATATATATTACGAGAGATCGAACCCATGTAAGTTATAGGGCACCTCTAACTATTACGTTACACACGCCCGTTTCTGTATGTACCGATGTAAATCCTCGTACAAAGATCTTCTAGAGCTGTCATTTATTATTAGCCTTGTTAGGTGTTGCAGTAGGACAGAGCTTCAGTTTCCTTTCCTTTCCTAGCAACTTCATAGTGGTAATGGAAATACAGTGTGAATTTCTTGTTTGAGGAACTGATGTGAGTTCGACATAAGTTCTAAGTCTTTGGGCAAACAACTTGTAGTCCTCGCTCGAGTCTTTCTCTTTCTGCCAATAATATGAAAAGAGGATTTAGTTAAGAATATCCTCTTCGTACATGACTTCACTTTTTTTTTCTTGGACGATGACAGAAGTTATTTTCCACTTTATAGCCGAACTGGATATTCACAAGGAGAAAGCGGCGGTAGGCTGTTCGTAAGAATAAGGTCGACCGCCGCATGAGTTGTGCTGTTAGCAGACTCCCATGTTCATCGACAATTTTCTCTCCTCTCGAAAAATGAATTTGCATCAGCAAGACATGTTGGAGAAGGAGGAACTTCAAGACGGTTTCCATTCTCACTTCGTTCTGCTATTCCGAATTTCCTCATCCTTTACTAATTTTCGTTGCCCGTTCTTAATCTGGCATTGAAGCCTTTAACAACGGATTTAAAGAACTTCTTGGTGCGGTTTTCTTTCCTTAACTGGCTGTAAAACTTGTCTGGTTCGCTCCTATCAGCTATACAAGTCCATGAGTAACAGACGATAACAACAACTTACTTGTGAAGTGCAAGTTGGAGACGAATAATACCCAAGAGCCATGGCACTATTTCGTATGGGGTAACTAGATGAGAATTAGATTGGTGTACAATAAAGCGAACACCTCCAACATTTCGCAATGGGATTTCTCTCATCGAATGACAATAGTTCCGCCACCTAATTAGCGTATATCGGTCCTTCTGTTCTTCTTCTATTGTGGGCTGATCACATGGAATTTGACGCGATTAGCTGCCTCAACAGGAGCGTAAAGGTCGGCAACTGAAGAGAAAGTGTTATAGATGCAGAGCATGAATCTGTCTCAGTGGGGTGTCGTAGGCGTGATCGTTTTCTCAGTTTCCAATGGCGCCACGTGCCACACGAAATTTGATCCCCTCTCTCCGATTATCTCACCGTCCACGTTGCAGACGGGAGCACTCAGTGTGCGGTACCCTGAGTGTAGTTTAGCTAATGTTGTTTCTAGAGCTCCGATATGAGCCTATTCAAAGCAATTTTCTTCGTATTTTTGTTGAGCAAACGCGAGGTGTTACTATTCTTTGTTCACGATTAAGCTGACGTTTCGGCGAATTTCGCCTTCCTCAGAGCCTGGAAAGGTCAAGTTGATAGCAACTCACTCGGCCAGACGCCTCCATAACCAAACAAAGAAACTCCAAACCAAGATTTCATGGAAAGGTCAAGTTGATAGCAACTCACTCGGCCAGACGCCTCCATAACTAAACAAAGAAACCCCAAACCAAGATTTCAATCACTTTGAACACAATTTTGCACACTCACCGCTTTCTATGAGGTCTCCACTAAGTATGTCACGTAGAGACCAACCGCACAGAAATCTGTGAGGTCTCCACTAAGTATGTCACGTAGAGACCAACCGCACAGAAATCACGTGGAAGTATAATGTGCCCCTCACATCAGAAAATTCAAAGAAAAAAAACTCAGAAAAAAAAATCCTATCCAAAACGTTCCTCAGGTCGTCACCACTCCAGGTAATGGTCGATCCCTGTAGACCAAAAGGAGATTTGCCACCATGCCACCGATCTGATACCGGAGGCAGTGATGATTTCTGGTATTGGTTTAATCTTTGCTGAGTTTTCGGATAGAAGCGTCGGACAACTTTTCAGCTTGGAGATCCTGCCAGGGAGATGAACTACCCGTTGTAAATCGCAGCCCGACAATGAGGAACGCCTCCCAGCCACAATGAGGCGGTACGCATTTCGGAGGACTTCTCATAAATGCTAATCAAAACAAAAGAATTGCTTATTTTCTTTATTCTAAAAAGCGAAGTGCAATTGAAGAATCACAGGAAAAAAAAGGAATAGTTAAAAACTCTTTGAATGCTTTGAAGAGGTCAGTATGAAGGGTGATAAGATAAGCAATGGAGCCAAAAAAATCATTGATCGACGCGGATCCATGTGTACTGTGGTCGATACAATTTTGCAAACCTTGATTTGCCTGAAAGAAAACGTACGCGTAGAAAAGATCTCAGAAAAGACTCGGCTTCCGAGACCTCTGGTACCAGCGATCATGAAAAAAGATTATTATCACAAATAGATAGGAAAAAACTATACATTTTCTAAAGAACTTTCTTGATTTATAACTGTTCCATAAGGTCCGTGATTATATGTGATGGTTCGAATCTGAGGTCCGTATTTTCCTGATCAAAACTATATTCAGAGGCTTGTCTCGCTATAATCGTCTGTGTAGGTTCGTTGATAGACCAACTGTTCGACACATTGAATGATACCGTAGTCGAAATTTGGATCGGCTCTCACAAATAGACTCCGCGATTTCCTTAAGAACTGTATTCAATTGTATTCGGCAAAAAGAAAGAGTCGAAAGAAAAATGGCTGAAATAAAAGAAAAGCAAAGGCCTCCGTAGTGCAGTGGATGTGAGTCTCCGGAAAGGGTGATCGCGGGTTCGAAACGAGCCTGGGGTCCAAGTTTTGCAAACACCTGGGCGCCCTTGTGGAATATGCAAAAATTTTAGAACATTGTCATTTAATGGACATTTATTTCCGATAAGATTCACCCGTAATGCATATAAACTATTTAGAATTGTCGCAATTTCGCACTAATTTTTGTTTGCTTAATATTTCCTTAACGCCAGCCGGCTTTTTATCAGATTGTTCGCAAGTAACCAGAAATCATGAATTGTTCGCGCTACGATAAGGTGTAAGTCATTCCATAAGTCATAAGTCATTCCTTACTAAACACACTTCCACATGACCTGGGCCTGAATAACCAATGACTTCCTATTGGTCTCATCATAGATCGGTAGTTAACTGCTTTCCTCATGAGCAGGTAGAAGCTTGTGACTATACTATTTATTATTCAGCTGATAGCCGACATCTCGGCATATTCCACCCTTTTCAGAGCCTAGAAAAGTCAAACTGATTACAATCTAGTCAACGAAATACTTCTATTACACCAATAGTATAAGCTGTTACAGTTAGTGCTGTTAGTCTCCATCAATAATTGGAAGACACAAAAAGAAAATCGTAAATATCTCAATAAACTGTTTCCAAGGCAATTGATAACTATTTAGATGATGAGTTTTTCTGTTGAGGTTACGAATGTATTTCGCTGACTACTCCGCAACCACACGGATCTCCCTCATATGAGGGATCCCGATAGCCGGTTAGTTGCGAGACTACGTGGCGCGTCCCCAGGTGGCGGATAGGGGGTTAATCGCGGACTAAAAGAGACCTTTGCTTCACTGAGACGCAGGTGGATCCAGGGGATGGACTCCCTGTTTGTGCTGCGCTGATCTGGCATATACTTTCTGTATTTGCTAGGCGTATTCATGCATGCGTGTGTGGGTGCGTTCTTGCTTGTGCGGATTATATTTTACGAGTCAATTCGGCCAAAAGCCTGCAATCAAGTAAGTGGGAAGTACATGGGAGGCGGTTAGGAGTCGCCTCCAACAATAAGCCCCAAGTCCACTCTGGGAAAGCATGGCAAGTAACCCGTGAGTATATCCAGCCCCCACGTTCAGAACCCAGGAAGCTATACATGGGTATCAAAATGATAAACACAGTAAAAGAAAACGATCCTCATTCCCCTGACCACGAAAGAGCCCCCAATTTCGCAGCGTTGGGTAGTACGGGTACGAAGAGGCTGCTAAAATCTCAGGGTCAATGAAAGCTACCTCCATTGCAAGAAACGAAGGTGACGATCTGTACCTACAACGCATGTACACTTGCATCCGAGTCCTCGATAGAAGACTTGTTCAAGCAAGCAAGAAAGATAAGGTACGACGTCATCGGCCTGACCGAGACGTGACGATGCCACCTATTCAACGCGGTCAATGACACCGGAGAAAAACTGTTCCTCGGAACACGCGACACTAAAGGAGTCGGCGGAGTCGACTTTCTCGTCAACACGAGTTTGTCCATGAACATTGATTCATTTGAACAACTAACAACCCGAATCGGACGTTCGCGATTAAAAAGATGTAGGTCAATACCAGCTTTGACAATCCTAGTCGTTTACGTGCCCACATCAAACTATGACGAAGAAGAAGTCGAAGTGTTCTATAGTGACTTGGAGAAGTTCTACAGAAAAGACCGCACATTCTTCAAGGTTTTATCATCATTGGAGATTTTATCGCCAAGACTGGGCCAAGAGGAACGTCTGAAGAACATCACATTAAGACCCACTGGTTACAATGAAACGAACGTGGTGAGCGGTTCACTGAGTTTATCATAGCGACCAAGACTATCCATAGTAACTCGCAATTCTAAAAGTTTCACCCTCAACGCTGGACTTGAGGGTATACCAATGGAGTGTACAATAACGAAATAGACCACATCATAGTAAATAGAAGGTTTTGTCTAACCGATGTCGCTGTTGTCCGAAAATTCTACGCGGGATCAGACTATCGTCTCTTTCGTACAAGATCCTATTTCTCGTGGAAAGGAGAAAAAGCTGCTAAATTCAAAAACGAAGTCTCAAAACCACCGTAAAATGGGACTTATTCAATTTACTAGTCAGCTTTTGGGAAGATGCCGTTGTTGATAACATCGAAGAGGAATACGATCGGCTCATTCAACATCTTCACGTTAGCGCAATTCACCAAGAGACGTCACTCTCCAGAAACACTCGAGATGATGCGCCAGCGCGGAATCGCACGAGCCGCAGGCAACCGCGAACTAACGCCCGAACTTGCGAAACAATGTAGACAGACGATAAAAGAAGATCCTTATGAGAGAAGAGTAGCAATGGTCGAAGCTGCAGGGGCCGCGAAAAGTATTCACAAAACCTATAGAAGCTCCGCCAATTACAAGACCAAGGTGATTGCACTCCTACGCCCAGACAGAACAGTTGCAGCGTCCAGAATGCTAATGGAGAAAATCATTCACGAATACTACCCGGATCGTTTCGATAGCCACGTCCACCTTCCGTCATATGAAATAAAGGAGGATGAATATGTTACACCACTTGTTCTCCCTTCCAAAATCCAACATGCTATTTCGACGGTAAAAAATCGGACAACACCAGGTCCGGACAGGATAAGAGCAGAACACCTGAAGAACCTTCCGCCACTCCTCGTAAACACTCGGCTGCTGACACGCTACCTCTCCGAATGCAAGTTCTTTAATCAGTGGAAGACCAGCAAGACCGTGTTATTCTTCAAGAAGGGTGACCTACACGATATTACCCACTCTGCTTGCTGTCTGTCGTCTACAAACTTTTCACTCGAGTCATCCTAAACAGGATTGACATAACACTGGACGAAGGACAGCCATGTGAGCAAGCAGGGTTTCGAAGAAGATTTAGTACGATGGACCACATCCACACGATAACAAGACTCACTGAAGTATCGCGAGAGTACAAAAGACTGCTCTGTCTCACCTTAATCGATTTAAAGAAGGCCTTTGACTCTATTGAGATAGAAGTAGTCATGGAAGCCCTTGATAGTCAAGGAGTTCCCACTTAGTACTTAAAGATTCTTCGTGAGCTGTACAAAAATTCCACAACCAAGGTATCAATATCCTACAACGATATTAACATTGACGTCAAAAGAGGAACTAGGCAAGGCGATAGCATCTCGTCAAAATTATTTACCGCCACCCTCCAGAACGTCATACGAACATTGGAATGGGATAATATGGGAGTGAAAATCGATGGCCGGCGGTTACATCATCTTCGCTTTGCTTATGACATCATTCTTATAAAACCAAACATTAGTCAAGAAGAACGTATGCTTGCCAACTTTGATAAAGCATGTGGAAAGATTGGTGTTCGACTGTATCTCACAACAACGATGTTCATGAGGAACCGATTGGTTTCGTATGCCCCATTTACGCTCAACGGAACGAATATCTCCGAATGCTACAGTTATGCCTATCTAGGTAGGAAAATCAACATGTTGAACGACTTAGATCCAGAGTTGAGCAGAAGGCAACAAGCGGCTTGGGGAGCTTTCAAGAGCGTCGAGGAGGTAGTGAAGAGAACAAAGAACACCCGACTCCGCGCCCACCTTTTCGACTTAACGGCACTTTCTGCGTTAACGTATGCGTCAAAAAGCTGGTCGCTGCGTAAACAGGATGAAAAATTACTCAGGGTTATTGAATGCGCAGTCGAAAGAACGATGCTAGGAGTATCCCGTTTCACACAACTAGGGGAAGGGATCCGAAGCTCCGTCCTGCGTCAACGATCAAAAATCAAGAATGCCGTTCTGTACGTCAAACAGTCGAAGATAAGGTGGTTCGGACACGCAATGCGTATGAATAACAACCGATGGACAAGAACCGCTAGTGACTGGATTTCTCAGGATATCAAACGTACTGCACGAAGACCACCGACGGGATGGTCAGAGTTCTTCACATAGAGCCTTGAAGAAAGATATGATGCTCGACGAGTATCTAGAGCGGTTAAAATCCACTGGGCAACTCTTGCACTCAATAGGGAAAAATGGAAGATTTACTGGCGCCCACTCGAGTCACTCGGCGATCAACGGGACCACAGGTGGTACAGGTGACATTGCAACCATCTTCACCTTTCCAAGCTCTGAAAAAGGCGAAGTGTGCCGAAACATCAGTTACCGTGAATTATGAATGAATATGGTGATCAAACAAGTTGAAAAGCAGTTCGACGTTCACATCCACAAGCCTCAAGTAAAATTAAGTCTACAGAGGCTCTTATCGAAACATTTAGAGACGCTACTGACCGTTCTTATCTACATATAACCGCTGTAATACAACAAATGAACACTTGCATAGCTGAAGGCATATAAAATGGCACGAAAGTTTTTGAAGAAATAGGACCAATGTTAAGTGTACGTATTGATTAGCACGAACAACGTCAGTTCAAATATGCTTCATATCTCCCTCAGAGTAAATCAATACCACGACGAATGCAAATATTTTTTAACTGAATACAGTTTTCTTTGAATTTGACACATACCTACACATGGAAACGAGGTGTAGATCGACAAAAATAGAAAGGGCAATTTCCATTGTCGGCTTTAATTAATATTTAGTTAGTTATTAATGTTAGTTATTACTGTTCTTGTCGGTTATATTTATATTAGTTATTATTGCTCTCGTCGGTTATTTGTGGCTTGGGCTTGGAAGGCGTCAAACAACAACAACATGTAATCTGTCCCCCACAAATCACTACAAGCGACAATCCTAAATTTAGTTAGTAGGTTAACTGGGCACCATAAAATTAATCCTAATCACTGTTTCTTCTAGGAGAAAAAGGGACAAAAGTAGCTGCATACGTGATATAGTCGTAGTCTTCTATGCCGACTATGCAGTTGCCCATCTCGTCGTAATGATTCGTATGGCAGACCTCCAATGCAACGTTTTTGTCGAAATCTGGTGAAAGTACCTAAAAATTTTTACAGATTTACAACATCTAAATAGGTAAGCAATGGGTGGATACAAGATATAAATTAGTTTAAATGCAGAAAGATGTGACACTTTGTCTCTTACATTCTTAATGAACACTTACTTGACAATGTTCTAAATTTTGTTCGGTAATGAATTTGAACAGCACATCCTGGAAAACCCGAGGAAGAATAATTGGAAACCGTCGATTCTTTAGCCATGAGCACACCGCTCGCTTCAAATATTCTAAAGCAATATTACTTAATCCTCGCACAGACGAAAAAGAATAGTAGACGGTCGTTTTAAAAACACCGAAAATCTATGTGAATTATGTTTCATTTTTTATTTTGTGCTTACTACAATTTTAACGGCAAGGTACTAAGGGAAATACAACCACAATGTTGCTGAGATACAACTACAACGTTGCTGAGATATTTGCAAAACTCTGGACCGCAGGTGTCTATGGTGGGGAACGAACGCGCTATTATCCTCTCCGGGGAGTAACGCGTTCACCACCACACCATGCGGGTCCTTCGTTTCGCCTGTCTCCCAGCTATTTCTATCGATCTTTTTGCCACAGCAATCACCCGTCAGCGGGGTTGATCTGGGAAGCGCAAGTCGGCATAGAACCCAGTTAAGCTATGGCTGTAGTTGAAATCACGTTCCCCACCATAGACACCTGCGGTCCAGAGTTTTGCAAATATCTCAGCAACGTTGTGGTTGTATTTCGCTTAGTAACCTGCCATAAAAATTATAGAAGGCAGAAAACAAAACGTTAAACGTTGCCGAGATATTTGCAAAACTCTGGACAGCAGGTGTCTAAGCTGGCGAACGAACGCGCTATTATCCTTTCCGGGGAATAACGTTTTCACCACCACACCACGTTGGTCCTTCATTTCGCCCGTCTTTCGGTTAGTTCTATTTATCAGCGCCATCTGCAATCACCCGTCAACGGGATTGATCTGGAGAGCTAACATCGGCATTGAACCCAGCTAGCTGAGAGACAGGCGAAACGAAGGACCCGCATGGTGCGGTGGTGAACGCGTTACTCCCCGGAAAGGACAATAGCCCGTTCGTTTCCCACCGCAGACACCTGCGGTCCAGAGTTTTGCAAACATTTCAGCAACATTGTGGTTATGTGAATTATATTACATGGAGCGATCAGTATATTTCGCTCAAGATCTTCTAAGCCAATCTTTTCTACGTTTTTGTTGATATGTAGTCGAAATTTACTCAATGCTCAATGCGATAGACGCTGATGTTACCCTGATTTTTAATTGTTTAGTAGCATAGTCTCCATTTTTAACGTGAGCACCTAGACAGAAAACGGTTTCAAGTGGACAAACTTTACCCCCAACCTTGTTCCTTTGCGCTTGCCTTGTCCAGGTCGTCGCCTAGAATACGTATGTGTTCCTCGGCAATGGTAAATCGACCAATACGGGCTGCTTCGCCAAGCCTTCTGGCGGTATCAGCGATGTAGTGAATTGAATGAATTGGCATCTCGTTTTCCTAGGAGTAACCCACTAATTTGGCATGCTTTTTACTGTTGCAAACCTATCCTCATTAGTGCAGTGATTGCAGGTGTCTTTGAAAACAAATAGACTGGTTCAATTCCGCACCCTAGGGAACCAAATTGCTCGCCCTTTAGGAGTCGGTAAATTGATGCCAGAATTGTCTGGGAAGAAGAAAAAACTAACTTTGCACATCGGTAGGCTAACCCAACTAAAGGCTAGGTATAAATTCAACGAATTCTAAAGTGTTTGATGGATTTGAGTGCATGATGTCTTCCTAAGCGAATCAATGCCGAGGGCCTTTTCTTCACCGCTTTATATTATTTCAATATAAAATATTTGTCCACAAATGACTATCATCTTGAAAAAGACATAGGCTCATGTTGGCATAAACTTCCACTTCCCTTCAGCAAGTAAACACCATGTATTTGATAACCTATGAATAATATATTATCAACCTCCTGACGGTTTACCGCCTCATCGTGGCTGGGAGGTGTTCCTGAGTGTCGGACTGCGATGTACAGCGGGGGACTCATTCCCTGGCAGGGTCTCCCAAGCTGAGAAGGAGTCCGGCGTTTCCATCAGAAAGCCTGGCTAAGAGTAAACCAATACTAGGATCCACTACCGTCCTGGTGTCAAAGTCGCATGGTGGTAAATCTCTCTCTGATTCACAAGGGCAGCGACTGCCTGTGGTGGTGAAGACCTAGACTTGGGGCAGACTCTGGCCATGCTGACCTCGGGACTCCGGGGAACCATAATGGCTTAAGCAGAAAATCTCCAAAAAATGGAGATTATGCTGGGGCCCGCACAACCAGTGAGGACGGGCCATTCAAGTATCAAATAAGTAATATATTATCATATTATTATATTGTATTACACACCGTTGTAATAATAGAGTGCTTCCATGGAAATCTCTCCATCCCGATATAACAAGCGTTGAGCGCGACAAAAGTGCCGTGAGCAGTACTGGTATTGAAGGTCATTGGTGGCACGATAATATTCAGAATACATTCACCAAGTATCCGCACCTGTCGATGAGATACGATTTACGTTCAAAAAATGTTTCGCTTTCAACTGATTTCGAATTTTAATTTAAAGTTTCTGCACCTACGGCTCGAACAGAAGTTTCATTTGCAACCTCTGTTCCTAAACATCGGTGCTGTGCTTGAATGAATGAATACGGATACCACAAGAGACACTCTTACCAATTTTTCGAATTCCGCTGACGCACTGCTGTCAATAACAAAGCAGTAGAAGTGCAGTGGAGAAAACATCATTGTCATCACTTCTTCCAAGAAATCGTAATCCTAAAGCAATGATAGCGATTTGCTGGCACAATCCGATGTAGAAAATAAATAAGCTTGTACGACACATGGTGACGGGCAAGTTTTATCTCTGAATTTTATCCGATCCACTGTATTATGATTCCTTATCAAACTTTGAGAAGTCTCCTTCAGGAGGAGAACTTTCATACGCCAGTTAAAGTGGCAATGCGCTGCGATCCACCGCTACCGCAGGAAAAACGCCTAGCAGAGGAAAAAAATTGGAACTCAAATGTAAACAAGACGGGTAAATGGATAACACATGTAAAATTAAGGGCAGACTCCACAAAGGCTGGATAGTCGCCTTTTTGTTAAAACTGATTTCAGAATATTCCTTTTTTGTCGACGGCAAGCCGACAATGGAGTGTCTCCGGATGGAACAAAATGTCATCTGAAGTAGCTTTTACCGATGCCCTCTCATATAAATTTATAAGTAAATGCCTGTGTTCAGATAATTTCATGCAGAATATCATATCGTATTATTAACGCTCTCAGTCGACCAGACAGTCTATATAAACCCGTAGATGCTCTTATGAAGTTACTCAAAAATGTGATGACAACTACTCGTTCATCGACAAAAGCTCCAAAGCTATTCATTTTCAATGATGCTGAGATATTTGCAAAACTCCGGACCGCAGGTGTCTGCGGTGGGGAACGAACGCGCTATTATCCTTTCCAGGTAGTAACGCGTTCACCACCACACCATGCTGGTCCTTCGTTTCGCCTGTCTCTCAGCTAGTTCTATCGGTCTTTTGCCATCAGCAACCACCCGTCAGCGGGATTGATTTAGGAAGCCCAAATCGGCAACGGTCCCAGTTAACCGAGGCAGCAGTTATAATCACAATTTTAACTTATTATTTACTGGCTACTCTTTTTAACTGGATGCGTTGCCGATTTGGGCTCTCCAGATCAATCCCGCTGACGAGTGATTGCTGATGGAAAAAGATCGATAGAACTAGCTGAGAGACAGGCGAAACGAAGGACCCGCATAGTGTGGTGGTGGATGCGCTACTCCCCGGAAAGAACAATAGCGTGTTCGTTCGCCACCTTAGACACCTGCTGTCCAGAGTTTTGCAAATATCTCAGCAACATTGTAATTTTCATTTCAGTAATTTTGTCACTCACTTTCGCGTAATACCCTGGCATGAAAGAATAATGCGCGCTGAATAAAAAGTTAGAAATTGTAATTTCGATTGCGACCTCAGCTTAACTGGGTTCAATGCTAATATGTGCTCTCCTGATCATTCCCATGAACAGGTGAGTGCTGATGGTACCGTTACGGTAAAAAGAATGGCTGAGAGAAAGGTAGAACGAGGTCCTCAGTGGTGCTCAGTGTAACACGTGAGTTCCCAGAAAGGATGATGGCGGTTCGATCTGGCGTGAGTTTTCAGTTTTGCAAACACTTTAGCATCATTATGGTTGCGCTTCATATTGCCGTTAGGCAGTAAATAAAAAGTTATTGATTACCCCATAAATGGCTTAACGAAGTAGTCGAAAGAGTTCGATGCATTCAACCGAACTGAGGAAAATCTTTCAAACACGGTTACTGAAACATACCGTCCGTTCCATTTTTCATGTTCTAATTCAAGATTTACTTCTGTAAACCTTTACCTTGCTAACGATTCGCAATAGATACATGTTATGATGGACTTCCATGCTATGTGGCACAGCAGCCGGTAAGTATCGTCGTTTTTTGATTGATTGGCATCTATAAAAGGAACTTGCTGTTCTACAAACAATCATCGGTCGCTCTACAAACATTCCTGACCTACTTGTTATTATTCAAGCCAATCTTCTCTTTACGCACAGTCCGATTACGTATATACACGGCTAGATTCTCTTTGCCACTTTCCCCTTCGTATATTCCACAATTCATGTGAATTCGTAGAGGAACTGGATTAAAAATATGAATACTGAAATAAACCAGTTCTTGTTTCTGCAGTCACTACTTTTTGAAAAAAGACTAGAAAAATGAGAAAAATCAATTTGTGGTTCAATATTGATGAAATTCCCCGTTCCCGAGTAATCTAGACGGAGTCAAAAAAGCGTACCTATGAAGGGCCCAATTTTAGCCCCAATAAGAATAGCTGCACCACTTAGTACCCAATATTCAAATATATAAAATCACTTTAGCTTAAATTAGAAAGCCCATAGCCGTTCTTTTGTATGCCAGCGGTCCTGTATGAAAAAGCCTAGCTTTGCTAGTGACGATCACTCGCGACTGTTAGCATATGGTAACAATTTTCTTGATACTTGGTACTTGATACTTGGACGGCCCGTCCTCACTAGTTGTGCAGGCCCTAGCATAATCACCATTTCTCGGAGATTTGCTAGTTAAGCAATTGTGGTTCACTGGAATCCCAAGGACAGCCTGGACAAAGTCTGCCCCAGGTCGTCATCACCACATCCCTTGTGAATCAGAGGGAGATTTACCACCATGCGACTTTGACACCAGGACGGTAGTGGATCCTAGTATTGGTTTACTCTTAGCTAGGCTTTCTGATGGAAACGCCGGACTCCTTCTCAGCTTGGGAGACCCTGCCAGGGAATGAATCCCCCGCTGTACATCGCAGTCCGACACCCAGGAACACCTCCCAGCCACGATGAGGCGGTAAATCGTTGGGAGGAACAATTTCCAACCTGATGAATTAGTTTACTGGTGACCTTGGCAAGAACGTGAGGTTTGAGACCTCTTGAAAAGCAATATATCATCACATTTGAGATGAAAGAAGGCGAAATATGAACACCTTCTCCCCTCCATAAATTAAACACCTCTAGAAGCAAATAAACATGTCAAGAGAAAGTATCGTCGTGCAGCAAATGATAGGTATCTTACTTACTTACTTATTTGGACCACCATCCATCAAACACATCACTTATGATCGATCGACAGAATATGGCAGCTTATTGTCCAGAAATTTTTTTTGGAACAAATTGAACAATTATCCCGGGTGCCATAATTTACTCTATTATTGTCGCGAGCAAAACCACGATTACAATTTCTGCCTCTACTTTTGTGCGGTCTTTTGAAAATCACTGATCTGCATTACTTACTTGTTTCACGACATTTCACTGAAATTACAAATCATTTGAATAAGTAAATAAACGCTACGACCATCTATATAAGTGTCCTACCCAAAAGCAAGTCGGATGACTGTCCTTTCACAAAAAAATTGGAGGAAGAAAGGGTTTTATTCTTAAAACATGATGTTTTTGGTGAGCCTCGAGCGAGCAGAGACAACTTCATAGGATCTCGCGTGCAATAAAGATACTAGGCGATTTTATTGAAACTTATTGAAGTCAATGCACGATAAGTGGGGTTAGAACTGTTGAAAAAGCAAAAGGGTCCCGTGTGTCAATCCCGCTCTTGGGGATGTGCTATGCATCCCACTCCATTCGTAGCATCGTAAAGGTAATTAAGTGCATGTTCGGCCTATACGATGAGCTGTGGTAGCCTAGCGATGTACCATTTCAGTATTTCGACCACTGTAGGCAACTTTGGTCACCAATCTGCCAACTATACGGGGATGGGGAGCACGATTTGCTCGAGCTAGACGCGGACTACCGGCAATTTTTCTTATCTGTCACGATTCGCCTTCACATCTACTATGTGGATCAAGGCATCCATCATCCACTTAGATCTTCGGATATCCACATCGCGACAACGTTCAGCCCTGCACAATTGATTATTATTAATACGGTTCCGAAAAAGGTGAAGGCGCCGAAACGTTAGTCGAAAACAAGTTTTTATACCAACCTCGTATCAGCTCAATCATATGAAAAATTATTCATTATTGTTACCGAACTGTGATAAAATACGGTTTTTAAGACCTTCCAACTCCTCACGTATGGACTCGGGTACTGCTTGAGGGATTTCCATTTTCTTCATGGATGTTGTTAAATGCTGGTCAATTTGATTCCCCTCGAGTCCTCTGAGAGCAAGGCTACACTGTTCTTGGTTGAATAGCAGAGAGTGAGCTATAAATCTTATGACAATTTCCCAACCGAAGCGATGAGAGGCTTGTTGAGCTTAGTGCGAGTCACCCGTTCTAATTGCTCACGTTTGGAGAACATTAAAAGAGGGAATGGTGCATATCATATTGTCCACTGTCAGACCAAATTCTCCTGTCTAGTCGGACTGCGAGTCAATAGCTGATTGCCTCGAAGGCATTTCCAAGATAGACCAGGAGTTTTTCAAGAATTAGAATCCATTAATGCCTAGCTAAGCTTACGATGCTTCGTCTTTATACGAATTTATCGGTAAGCTTCCCAATATAAACTACGCCATCCTCGACACCTACCAGTACGTCCTACATAACAGAAACTGGATTAAAAAAATTAATTGTTCTGCTATGTAGAAGACTATGTTTTTTTGCAGTAACTCCCACGACCGACTTTCTATTAACCTCGGCATTGATCAAGTAATTCTTCGTATTGTTTTCTCGTATTCCAGAGTATGTCACGCGAAGACCAGTGGAAGCCTCATAGAAAGCGGTGAGTGTGGAAAGCTGTGTTTAATGTAAATGAAATCTTGGTTTAGCGTTTTCTTTGCTTGGTTATGGAGGTGTTTGGCCGAATAGATTACTGTCAACTTGACCTTTCCAGGCTCTGAGAAAGGCGAAATCCGCCGAAACGTCAGCTTGTACGTAAACAAAGAATAAAATAACACCTCGCGTTTGCTCAACAAGAATACGAAGAATTAGAATTAGAATTATGTTTTTGCCACGTTGAAAGCTAACGTAAGGAACTTGTTCTGCTGGCAATACAGAAAGTACATCTACTACCGTAAAAGGCCGAACAGCACTGACTCGTACAAGTGGAACACCTCCATTTACTCAACAAATACTTCTGGAGAGAAATCGAAACCTCGATGGAGTTAGTCGAAAATTCTGAATAATCGCGAAGTTTCGATTTTCGTGTTTTGATATGTTAGGAAAACGATGTACAAGGCAGCCTTTGCTCAATAATAGACCCATGTGTTCAATTTAGTGTCATAAACGTCCACCACAGTGATCTTTAACGCTCAGGATTTCTACGACGGTTATAACCTCTGCTATTAACATATTTTGTTTAAGCCTGCCCTAAACATTACTTTGGAAACACTAGGCATTATATATACATGTATATATACATATACATATATATAGCACAAATTTCTACTACCCACAGTCAACACAGAGCAAACTATGGCGTTAACGTATGAAAGTGACTGCGATGCTAAATGTTATCAAACGCGTTACAAAAACAATGATATGACACATAACACTAAAAAAACCATTACAAACCTCCACGAGACATATCCAACTAAGACAATGAACATCGTCACAAGTACAGTAATGGGAACCACCCGCAAGTAAAATTTGGCGTTGTGCCAAGACGAACCCATCCTGAAAATGCCCCTTCGATTGACGAATAGTCTTCGGTTACCTTTTCTTAACCGCAATAAGGTTAGAATGTAACAATTACTTGTATGGCAACATCAAAAACAGTAAAGGAACTGAAGTGTTAGAACTTTCGAAAAATAAGATTAAACTCAAAGTAACACTGGTCAATAAAAGAATACTTAAGTAAAAAAACAAGAAGGATTTTAATAAAACATTGGATATAGAAGACAATATTTGAGATGAGCGAAATGTGACGTACACCTAATCAAAATCTTTATAAAGATAATTACACTGAAGAGATAGAACTAGCTTAGAGACAGTCAAAACGATGGACGCTTGTAGTGTGGTGGTGAACGCGTTAGTCCCCGGAAAAAGGTAATAGCTCTTTCGTTCCCCACCGTAGACACCTGCGGTCCAAAGTTTTGTAAATATCTTAGCAACACTGAAGTTATAACTAAACTGAGTTCTTGTTGTTCACCAAAATTTAGTGAACTGGTCAGCAAGAAAATCTTATAGGTAGAGCAGTCGTAAGAGAACACCTGTAGTGAATAACTGCAAGATTCTAATGATCTGTAACTGCCACGACCGACTTTCTATTAACCTCGGCATTGATCAAGTGATTTTCTTCGTATTTTGTTGAGCAAACGCGAGGTGTTACTATTCTTTGTTCACGATTAAGCCGACGTTTAGGCGAATTTCGCCTTCTTCGCCGAAGCACCGTGGTAACACCAACGTGCGAGAATGGTGGTGAAAGGTGATGAACTCCTCGATCGCAGGGACTTTGTCAAATTTGAGCAAAAACGAAGAAGCACGACACTTTGCAAAAACTTTTCGACTAGATTTTACAAATAATTCAATGTAATTAGGATCGATCTTCAAAGTAACCCAATCCTCAAGTGTTTCTCACAGCAAACTATGGGATTGTATGCTCACAAATATATATATATATATATATATATATATGTACTTGTATACGCATGTGTTAGTATTATAGTTGCTATCACTGGGATGATACCGCAGTGGTTAGCAATGCATCTCATGGAGAAGCAAGGCCCTGTTTCAACCCTTTCTACAATGGTCTCCACCAATCCACCCAGGAACACTCTAGCTAGGCTATCTCCAAGATTGCGAGGAGAACTGACTCAACCACCATTCCACATTCTTAAAGAAGACCAAATCCTCACGCGGTGTCCAAAGAATATGGAAGGTGAATGTGAAGAGAAAAGAATGGAATAGAAGACGTACTAGGGACCGTGTAGTAGATCCAATGACGGGTCATGTAGAGTAGAATAAATAATTATTATGTAGTCACTTTTTATTTACTGCCTATTCCTTTTGATGGCTGTGCATGACGTCAGATATAACCACAATGCGTCTGCGATCCGGAATTTTGCAAAAATCTCAACAACGTTTTAGTTAACTAATTATTATTAAATCATCACTTGACCAGACATCACATGTATCACACTGTGTGGATACCAGCACTTCTTGCATTTGCATTCGACTCGTTCCTCGGCACCAATCATTCACGAATGATTTTCTTTTCGTAAAAAATGTCGTTGAATGCTGATCAAGAGTGGATTCTCTCTGGCGTCCCAAGATGGCAGGGCTAGAAGGTTCCTCCTTCGATTGCTGAATAGCGGGCTCTTCAGACACAGACAAGTCTGGCAACATTTTCCCTCACCCAAAGGGTTGAGAGGCCTGGTAAACAAGGAACTGGGTCGAACCAACATGGTGGTCATGACTGCCGGCACCACTACTACTGCTCAATCCGCCCGTATAAATATATATATATATATATATATATACATATATATACATATATATGTGTACACAAATCGCCTTTCACTTATCGTTAGCTTGAATTATAAATATTTTGTTTCATCTATGTGCTCAGATAAGGCTGCTATAAATCCTCATTGTGACGAAGCTTTGCGCCAACTCGCCTTCCTTAGAGTAGCAACGATTCGAGTCGAATGTTGACAATAGTGGTGTCTTGAGGTCTGAATCTTCGAACCCACATCGGACCGGATGAAAATAGAAGGAATTTGTACTAAGAAATTACTCAATACTTATTAATTTAAATAGTCCAAACCATCCCACAAACCTTGTGTTGCTGGTCAGCGCAACAAATCGGTACAAACGGTACAACCATAACCATGCTGAGATGTGGACAAAACTCGAAACCGTAGTTGGGTTTCGACTTCACGGCTAGCCCTTCAGAGGACTCGTGCGCTATCCACCGCGCCAATCCAGGGCCATTGCTTTGCCTTTCTCTCAGCTATATTTTTACTCTATTGGTGCTATCAGCGCTCACCCTTAAATCGGAACGATTTGTGGAGCAAAAATTGGTTGTAAATGTCTCAGCATCATTGTCATTGTATTTCACACAATACCCTGCGAAAAAAAAACAATAGGGAATATATTAAAAAGTTACACACTGCTATTTTTAAAGGACGCGTGTAGCGTAGTGGTTTGAGACGCCCTGCAGTACACACAAGATCAATACCACGCCCCCGGCTCACAAAGCCTTCCAACCATCTGGAGTCGGCAAATTGATGGTAGAGTTGTCTGAGGGAATAGTAGCGTTGGCTCGACACATCGGTAGGCCACTGCGAGACATGCTATAGCCTAGATATAGATTTAATCACCTCTAACGATGCTTTAAAAAGCCGAGTGCATGGCGCATCCTTCAGAGATTGATCAACGCCGAGAACATTATCCTTTATTTTGCTATCTAACAAATAATATAATATCGACTACTGCAAAATGCATTGCCGTCTAAAAAGTGGAAAATATCGAGTGGAAATAGATGGTTCATTGGAGCGATGCTCTTATGCGTTACCCTTCTGTAGAAGATTCGACTTGATGTGACAACGAAGACTCACATCATGGAGACGAACGGCTGTGAACAATCAACTCGGATCACCAGCTGTGATGTAGACGAAGGCGCCGAAACACTAACCGAATATAACTTTTATAACAACTTCGTGTTAGTCTAATCATCCAAGAGAACTATAAACAGTTCCCTTCACCCCTATGTGTTCTCATGGACTTTGCATGGTAACTTTTTCCACATTGTTTTTCATTTTCCTGTTCTTTCACGAATTGTTTTTCAACGGTACAGTGTGTAGTGTAGGCGTGATGGGCCTCGACGCTAGTATTTCACTGACAAGACGAACAGTGCTCGTTGTCCTTGTGTCGACAATATAGCCGGTTGTAGCGTAATACCAGCAAATCATAACCTTCTATCGTGTTACAGTATCTATGTCATCTTCCTCACATATCAACACTAAGTTCTCCCTTTGGCACGAAAAGGAAATAGAAAAGAGATTCCAAGAAACACCAAGGATTTTCCTTATCATCGTTCATTGTTAACATTCTCACGACCAGTAGTGACCTCTCTGGGAGTGGTTTGGATGCTGCCAAAGTGGCCGGTATGGCCTCCATAAACTTCGTCTCCTTTCCAGTGGTTTATTTTAACACATGGAACTGTTTCCCAACACCCCTTCTAAACAATCAATAGATTGTAGGACGTAGACATTTTGTTCCTCCCATCGGTTTACCGCCTCATCGTGGCTGGGAGATGCTCCTGGGTGTCGGACTGCGATCTACAACGGGGGAGTCGTCCCCCCGGCAGGGTCTCCCAAGCTGAGGAGTCCGGCGTTTCCATCAGGAAGCCTAGCTAAAAGTAAACCGATCGAGTCTATCACCGTCCTGGTATCAAAGTCGCATGGTGGTAAATCTCCCTCTGATCCACAAGGGCTGCGATTACCCGTGGTGGTGAAGACCTGGGGGCAGACTTTGGCCAGACTGACCTCGGGATTCCAGGGAACCACAATGGCTTAACCAGCAAGTCTCCGAAAAATGGTGATTATGCTGGAGCCTGCACAACCAGTGAGGATGGGCCGTTCAAGTATCATGTAAGTGAGGCATTTTGTTGGGTATTGGTCGTGTAGATCTCTTCAGCACTTAGAAGTATATAAAAAATCGTATTTTTAAGGAATTCATCGACCAGAGTATAAAAAATTCCGAAATGGAGACGCATAGGATGCAAAAGACTGACAAATCCTGATAGTAATCTATGATGCACCATAGTAACATATAGTACATATCACCATCCACATCACTCACACCTATAGAGCGATGCGAGAAACTATCCTTCACAACCATTTCACGTTCACAATCCATGATGCCTCTAGTTATTAAAAAAATTATTGCTTATTGCCAAAAAAAACCCTCAACGTACGTAAAGATTGAAAAACAGGCGCTGTCGGCACTGTCAAGGGATATAAAAAATAAAGGGTAAAAAAATAATAAAAAAATAAAGAGCTCTCGGCGTTGGTCAATCCCTGAGGGATGTGCCATGCATTCGACTTCATTAAGCATCGTTTAGAGGTGATTGAATGCGTGTCTGGCCTTTACAATGACTCGTGGTGGCCTATCGACATATCGAGCCAGTGCTGCTATCCTCCCAGACAAGTCTGGCACCAATTTGCCGACACTGGAGGGATGGAAGGCTTGGTGGGCCATGGGCGCGGGGTTCGATTCCACGTGTGTGTTGCAAGGCGCCTCCGACTACTGCGCCACACGCGCCGCCCCGTTAAGAGACATACCACAACATCTAACGTTGTTCTCTCATTATTTTCTTTTCGAAAACAAAAATCCTAGAAATCTTAGTTTACTCTCAGAACATAAACTAACAATAACATAAAATACTCTAAAAACAAAATGTGCTTTAAGCAAATAAATTCACGATGCACAAAAGTTTCAGTAACACCGGCGATACCTAGTGGTAAACAAAATCCCTAGGTTTATCGCTCCATTTACTACTATTGATAATAACATTAGGAGAATGAATGAATGAAAAGAGACGACTGGTTAGCGATTAAAGACGTGCAGTCCTTTGTCCCTTAGTGAAGTCATTGTGTATTACAAATCTGCTTTATATTGTGCTGATATGTTTAGTAATATGATAAAAGAAAAATCGAAAAAAAGAAGA